CGCGCCACGCTCTTCCTGCCGCCAGGTGAGCTGGGATGCTGGCGGGAGGTGTGAGCGTCGGTGGCCTGAGTCTCCGTTGCTTTCTTTCCAGGGCTGATTTAGCACTGATTTGGTTTCGGAGCAAGGTCAGAGAAGCTAGCATTGACTATGTCGGTGGCCACTCTACCAAAATAGAGGATTTGGTACTGGGCGTGGTGTCTCACGCCTGTAATCCCAGCACTTTGGAGGCCGAGATGGGCGGATCACTTGAGATCAGGAGTTCGAGACCAGCCTGGCCAACATGGTGAAACCCCGACTCTACTGAAAATACAAAAATTAGTACGGCATGGTGGCACACGCCTGTAGTCCCAGCCACTGGGGAGGCTGAGGCACGAGAATCACTTGAACCTGAGAGACAGAGGTTGCAGTGAGCCGAGATCGCACCACTGCACTCCAGCCTGGGTGACAGAGCCAGACTCTGTCACAAAAAAAAAGAAGAGAAAAAAGAAAAAAAAGAATTTTTTGTTAGGCAGGGTACTACGGCTTTTACTTGCATTATATTAGTCTCTATAATATTCCAATGAAGTTGGTATTGTTATTCTGCAGATGAAAAAGCGGTTCAGGTCGTCAGGTACATTATCCACTTTGCTATTAATCACTACCCTACAGATCTCTACAGGCATCAACCTGACTTGTCTAAGGCAGAATGATGACAGTGAATGAGGCTATTACCAATGTCGCCTTCTTTAGTGTTCTAGGCACACTGAGTCTCTTCTCCACTTCTTCATGTCCTGCTTTATCACAGGTCATACTTCAGACTCCACTGCCTTTCTCACCTAAAACCATCTCTGGGTATTTCTTTTTCTTTCCTCCCTTTCTACATAGACATCTGAAATATGAGTACACTAAAAACCAGAGGGCTGATGCAACAGAACATAAAATTTCGTTTCAATTGTTTTCTTTTCTTTTTTTTTTTTTTTTCCTGAGACAGTGTCTGTCTCTGTTGCCCAGGCTGGAGTGCAGTGGTGTGGTCATAGCTCACTGCAGCCTCGACCTCCAGGACTCAAGTGATCCTCCCTCCATTGCCTCCCAAGTAGGCAGGACTACAGGCATGCACCACCACACTCGACTAATTTTTTTTTTTCTTAAAAACGGTCTCACTACATTGTCCAGGCTGGTCTTGAAATCCTGGCCTCAAGCGATCCTCCTGCCTTGGCCTCCTAAAGTGCTGAGATTACAAGCATGAACCACTGTGTCCAGCCAGCAAAGCACATTTTTTAAATTGTATAATGGCTTACATTTATAATATTTTGTTCTCTAGGACCTGGACCCTTCCCAGGGATCATTGACATCTTTGGTATTGGAGGGGGCCTGTTGGAATATCGAGCCAGCCTCCTTGCTGGCCATGGCTTTGCTACGTTGGCTCTAGCTTATTATAACTTTGAAGATCTCCCCAAGAACATGGACAACATATCCCTGGAGTACTTCGAAGAAGCCCTGTGCTACATGCTTCAACATCCCCAGGTTCTCCTCATGTCCTTTATTTAATCAGTCTCTCTAGAAATATCTCCATAGAGAGTATAACCTGTACCATGTGCAGAAATGCTGCTCTGTTCTCTTTCACAAAGATTTCTTCTGGAGACTTCCTTGGCTTAAGGTGCCTATTTCCACTTTTTCTGTCAGATGAATTTGTGGTATAGAATTAATTGTAAAATCCACATGAGATTTTATTTAGTAATATTAAATATTATCTGTATATTGCAAATTGAATTTCTAATCTATTGTCTTTGCATGCTTGTTTTTTTGTTTGTTTGTTTTTGAGATGGAGTCTCGCTCTGTCACCCAGACTGGAGTGCAGTAGCCGGATCTCAGCTCACTGCAAGCTCCGCCTCCTGGGTTTACGCTATTCTCCTGCCTCAGCCTCCCGAGTAGCTGGGACTACAGGCGCCCGCCACCTCACCTGGCTAGTTTTTTGTATTTTTTAGTAGAGACGG